CAATCTGTAACTTGTCGAAGTAGTTGACTTCATTCTTCCTTTAGGTCGTCCGCTGGGGCCGTTCTGTCTCTGCAAATATTCAGAAATTTATACAGTTCCAGCTCACAGTTAATGTAGCAGCTCTTGCTATAAATGTTGTGGCGGCAGTTTCTTCGGGTGATGTTCCTTTAAATGCAGTGCAGGTCCCCGTTTCTTCCCCTGTATTCTATATTTCATTGTCTAATTTACAAGCATGACCCGAAGTGCATCTAGGGCCGCATATGCATTATACTTTTCAAAGCTTGATATAAAAGTTGAGGACTCGCATCTCTCAAAAACTTAAGACTGTTAAAAGAAGGCTTAGGAATGGTTCTTTTTATCAATAAACTGTAACACAACGCCTCAAAGTCCTTTGGCTTTGAAGCATGGACAAAGTGATAGAGCACCATATTTTGTGATGAAATTTGATTTATTTGGGAGAATTGGGACAGGAGGGATCATTCCTTTGACTTCCTTTACCATGAAAGCTCTTATCCCATGTTACAAAAAAAAAAAATAGCTCAAGCTTGTTAGGAGTAAGATTAGAAGTATTTGATGTTTATATATATCCAACTATAAGAAGTCACGATTAAAATTGGACATTAAAAATTGATTTCTAATCTTACAGTTTCATCTGTTGTATGAATAATAACACAGTACAAATAATAAAACACGTCTGTATTATTTTCTGCCATTCTGATATACATGCTGTGACAGCTTTTGTGGCTTAACCTTATCATGGACACACTTGGGGCCCTGGCACTAGCAACGGAACCGCCTACGGACCACCTTATGCACAGACCACCCGTTGGTCGAAGGTTTGGATTGACTGGCTTTCTAAATATGTATTTGAATGTATATAAATCAGTACTCCTGTAAACACACAAACATGCATTAGCCAATAACTCTGAGTTTAATACAATAGTTGGCTTGCTTAAATTTCAAATGGTCTCATCTTTACTATTACTTTAGTTGCGCCCTCAGTGAAACATGATTGATTTGATCTTTAGATACTCAGTTTCACTATGATTTTGTGTTTGGTTTACAGGGAACCTCTCATAACGAATAACATGTGGAGGAACTTGCTTGTACAGGTTACTTCTCTTTTCCAAGAAACTTTTCAAGGTTGTTGTCGAACTGTAGGCATGTCTTTTTGGGTTGATCTTTTATTTCCCTTTGAAGGCTGTGTATCAAATTGCGGTTCTCCTTGTTCTTAATTTTGGTGGAGAAAGCATTCTCCGTGGTAACAACACCGAAGCAGAAACCATGAAACTGAAGAATACTTTGATTTTCAATGCATTCGTCCTCTGCCAAGTAAGTGAATCTTTAAAATTTAGATATGAAATAGTTGTAATGTCAATGGAACCATATTTTCCTTGCATCTCTGGAACTTTCTAGTTGCGTTGCATGATTTGTTCCCATGTTCAATGTTTATATGTCTTCTTAATTATTGATGGAATACTGTGGGTTCAGTCTTACGGTGTAAGAATTTGTCAAATCATCCAAATTCTCATTAGACTGGTTGAACATACAGATATTCAATGAGTTCAATGCTCGAAAACCAGATCAAATAAACGTGTTCACCGGAGTGACCAAGAACCGTCTCTTTGTGGGAATTGTGGGACTGACCTTTGTACTTCAGGTATGTAGTCATTCCTATGGTTGGTCTGTTTTTAATTGTTCATATCTGCATATATGCATGTGTTACTGATTCTTTTCATATCTGTTAGATAATTATCATCGAGTTCCTTGGAAAGTTCACTAGCACTGTGAGGCTTGATTGGAAGATGTGGCTCGTTTCTTTTATCATTGGTATTGTCAGGTTTGTTCGTTCATTTCATTCTATTACTACTATTAGCCTTTAATTATGTATTCATTAGTTGCCTCGCCTATAATAAGAAAATGGATAGATAAATAGATGCATAATACTTTGTTAGTTCCTATTCTAAAGCACTTCTAGCCACCTTGCCAGAATCAAGAACAGATGATTAAATCATTAATTTTATTTAAAAATCAATAATTTAAAAATCGAACCAAAACAGACCATCGACCAGAGTTATTAAAGACTCAGTTTTGACCAAAAAATTATTTTTCATGATTGAGTCAGATTGGACTGGAGTTGAATCGGGAAGCGGATCAGTTTTCAAAAAACTGAACAATTTTAAATATAATATTAAAAAAAGCTTAAAAATTAAAAAAATAGAAAAATTTAAAAATTAAATCCTATTAAAAGCCAACTTTATTTTTAGACAATTCACATATATGAAATAGGATTTGAGATCTTTCTTTTATAAAGATGTTGACATTTATAAGTGTAAATGCAGATATTTTTTAATCTACTTATATCTAATTTAACATACTCCTTCCGTTCAAAAATATAAGGTATTTTTAATCAAATATCACTCTCCAATAACGTAGTTACCTATTTTTAAACTAACCATATATTTTTATATTTACTCCTATTAAATATCCTACAATAAATATTAAGTCATTCATTAATAGGGGTACTTTTAGAAAAAAAACAATAATTACATTTTGAAAGATTAAAAATACCTTATATTTTTTAACATTTAACTCGTCAAAAAATACCTTGTATTTTTTTAATTGAAGGAGTACTATAAATGCAAAACTACTTATATTTAATAAGTTATAAAACTATAATTTATAATATTATAAATTTACAATCATGTCATGTCTTTTTATTAACATACTATAATTTTTTCTTATATTTATTATATATATAATGTTATTTTTATTTAATTATTATATTATTGGTATAACCTTTAGTTTAACAGGTTATACTATAAAAATCGAGAACAGTTGACTTTTTTGATTTAACATTCAATTTGGCTTTTAAAATATTGTTAAAACTAGAATTAATTTTAAAATTTACCCGTATTGTAATAAATTTACATTACATTGTGGTTAATGAATTGTTTTTTTTTTAATGAAACACATGGTTAATGATTTTAAATAAAGAGAAAAATGTTACCTTGTCAAGTGAGGTGACTTGTAACAACTAATAAGAACAGCATATTTCTTCTATAATAGCAAGTTTCATTTTTTTTTTTTGATCCACGTGTCAATGTCAAAAGGAGAACCCACTATTTTATGTCTATCTCTTTACGCTAGATAACTTTTTCCACGCTGGGTATACTATGTCCTATGTGCTGCTCGCTTTACTTGGTGTGATTTCTGCTCTGACCAACAGTGTTTGGCATGTTACTACAGTTGGCCACTTGCTGTACTTGGAAAGTTCATTCCAGTTCCCAAAACACCGTTGTCCCGTACCTTCAAGAAGATGCTTATGCGATTCAAGAGATCCAAAACTCCTCCCACGCAATAGGTCAGCACATCATTCCTTCCTTCCTCAAGGCGATCCATCACCTGCTAATCTGCATGCTTTTCCTACCCAACAAGTGAGGTGACAATTGATTACAAACACACATACTTTCTTCTACCTGTCTTAAAAGATTAATCTGTTTAGAGCAGACTTTTCGGGTTTATTTGTAAATAGATTAAGATTGTCAAGAGAGTCACACTCACAAATTCATGAATATTGACAGTTCTCATGGTTTCATATTTCTCTCTGTCTACACTTGTGGATTACGCCACTGGTTATACTTATTGTTTAAAAAAAAAAAAAGAGGGAGTACACGGATGTGTTGGCAATTACTAAAACATAGCTATCATTATGTAATATTATCTTTCATTGGGCCGTGTACATTTTTACTGTAATACATCCTGGCATTGTCGGAATCACATGGCTCTTAATAAATTCAAACTGACAAGCAATTGCCATGTGGTGAATTATTATTTTTTTGGGGAACCATTTTGAAAAGACAAGAACATAAAATTCAACGGACAGAAAAGAACATGTTGAAATTGGATTGAAGGATCGAATAGAAAGAGCCGAACATGGTAAACAGGTTAAGTCTGAAAATCAAACCAATTTGATCCTCGAATCTTCCGCTTTCTTAATCTGCCTGTTTCAACGTTTAGGTTATATATCTTATACTCTGTTAACTAATTCGCATGGATTAAAAAAATTGGGTACGTTAGTTATTTGTAAGTGTGTTTGTTTTCATAATATACATCTCCTTGAATCATTTATATTGGAGTTTTCTAAACACAACTTATGCATTAAACAAAAATCTAACGCTAGGGACCTTGTTAAAATTAAAACAAATCTCTATTGACAACTTAGCAAAGGAAAATAATGGAGATTGACGTTTCATATTTAGAATTGAAACAAGTCCCTCAATAAGTTAGAATTATCATTATTATTAACCATTTGAATCTTATAAAAAATAATTCTCTCGAGTACGTAACTGTACTTCTCGTTTGTCAGTTGTCATGGTTCATGGAAGAGGATTCTCAATCAATATAAATTATTTGCAGTTTTAATAAATTAATTAATTATCTTTAAAATTATTTTTTTTTATGTTTACTCTTATTTAATAGAGTGTCTCAATTAAAAAATTTTATTAATTAAAAATATTTTTGAAAAAAATCTCATTATTTATATCGTGAAAGATCAAAAATATCTTATATATTTTAATCTTCTCTCAAAAAAAAATACCTTATGCTTTTTAGAAAAAATATCAGACACCGTTGAAAAAAATTTATATCAGTTAAGAATTATTTATTATTAAAATTTGAATGAATATTTGTTGATTTGAGTTAATTTTTTATTAACAAACATTCATTCAAATATTAACAATTTATTTTAAATTAATAACAGTTCATTCACATCTTTTTTTATTTAAATTTTAACAATTAATCCTTAATTAATATATTTTTTTTTTTTAACCATCGTTCATCCCTATCTTCCCAACTTTTTAAGGGATGGAGTATGTGAAAGCATAGAATGAAGCAGAACTTGGGTATAGCGTCAATCATTATATCGAGCAGGTTTTGTATATGCAATGAACATAATATCATTATTTTTGTAAAACAAAAAAACAACAGTGAAGACTAACTGAGAGGCAACCATAATTTTACAAACTCCTACATAACAAAGAAAAGAAAGCACTGTGTACGCATCAAATGACAGTGACTTCAATCAACTGAACAATAATTCTTTCGTTCCCCATTTCTTGGTGAACGTTCCATAAGGGGAGGGCAAAAAAAAAAAAAATCAACATAATTTAAAAGGGGAGGAAAATGTTAACACTGAATTCCCGGCGGGTGGTTAGGACCTCATATTCCACCTTCATTGAGTAAACTAATCGTTGGAGAAGCAAGACCATCTTTGATGAAAGCTTCACAATACCTTTTTACTTATCTTCACACCAAACTAGCAATAACAGGAATAGGCAAAGTGGTTTTTCTTGGAGACATAAGGAGAGATGAACTTGGACGCAGAAGCAGAAGCAGAAGCAGAAGAATCTACAATATCAGCCGGGACAAATATCTGAGTTTTACCAGAACCAATTCTCTTGCCAGCTACATTGGCATAGAACAAGCCTGAAATTGCTGGTACGAAAACGTTGCTCTCGGAACTCACGTAAAAATCGATCACCTTCTCAAATTCAGAACCTTCAGAATCCAGGTACTTCATCTTTTTATCAGCGGGCATGATGGCTTCCTGCATTTGTTTTCAGAAGCAATGAGCGTTTTAAATCTAAAGCATCAAAAAAATAAGCATGAAAGTTGTATAGTCTCGTTTAAGTATTCCAATCGCTATATTCAATCCCTCATGTAAATAATGCATGACAAGTCCTGGCTTAAATCTCACCTTTGTATAAGTTTTGGGGAACATATCCTTGAGAGAATCAAGGCCGTTATGCCACCTTGATTGAGTCACATAAATTGTGGTACCCTTGTCAAAACCAATCTTCCTCAAAAATAATGCAACCTCTGGGGCGTTGTAGCAGCTTTTAGCTCCATCATCATCACTTCCATGGCAACCCTTCTTATCCAACATCTCAACCCTCAAGTCCACCGCTATGAACTGGCCATCCGACTTTCGGCTCAAAGTTCTTAGTCTTTCTACCATTGAATCAACCACTTCCTTCATCTCTGGCTGTAGCTGTAAACTTGCAAACATTGCTAAGCAAGAAACAGAATCAGTATCAGCAGCATTTCCTTCCTTTCTCATGTTTATTGAAGGGAAGTAAGTTGCAAGCCTTATATTTCCCTTTGTTCTGTATATTGGCTCAACATGTTCAGCTATGTAATCTTCAGTAACTCTATTAGGGACCTTCACAGCAGCAAGACTCCGTGTTGATATTTGAGCAGGAAAATCCTTTACTACTTTAACCACCCCCTTCATGCTTGTCATGAACATGTCCACATCATAAATGTCCTCAAAGTTCCTGGAGATATCAATTCCATTAGTCAAGAACATGTACTCTATTATTGAGTTAAATTGTGAGCAATTCAACAACGTAATATCCTGAGTCCCATTCATCTGATCTATGATAAAGCATTTCCAAAATAAGCTTTTCCAAGGCAAACTTGCAATAATGGAATAGAGAAGTTGATAACCAGTCCTTAATCAATGGAGAATCTTACATCATTCCAGCCCAGGATTCTAAGGCCTCCTAAGAGCCTTTGATGCTTTACGGCATTGATATAAATAAGAGACAGATGAAGCAACTTCTTTTCCAGGCATTTCAATCAAATAATTTATTAAGTTATAAACAAACACAAACTGATGCTAGATGTCCAAGACGGAGGTGAATTAGAATATGCCAAGCATTTCTCATGAGAAGGCAGAAGGGGGGGAAATTATCAGCTAAAAGGTTATGTTAATCAGCTTCGCTGTACTGCCTAAGTAGCTAAACATCTTGATTGATAACAAGAATAATAGCAGAAATTGAAGCAAGTAATACGATTATGGTTACTTAACAGAAAACAGAGAAGTGCTTAATGAAAAAACTCTTGACTATGATGGATGGGGGACTTAGAATAAGAAACCATGATAAAAATAATTAACATGTTCCTCCTTACAGGCCTCAACCAAACATATGAAATCTTTCGCAAAATGAAATTCAACACTAACCACTTGTCACCAGGTTGGCTTCCTCTGATGTCAGGGAGAACAAGTGTTGCCCCCAAACGTCTAGCAACAACCACAGCATCTGCAATCTGAACCAAGCATCACCAGAAAAACAATGAACATAGGAAATGAAACTACAGACTCTAGCAGCAGCAGAGGATTAGCAGGGAAAGAAAGAAAAGCAAAACAAATACTTTATCAATCTTGAAAATTGTTGAACTCAATGGCGAGGCCAAGTTAAAAATGATAGTTAGGTAAAGGAATATATTGAGAAGGCATGCCAATGAATGAACCAATTGCATCATCGTCCATCAATTGACTAAAATATAGTATAATGAACAAGCATATTATCGGTTAGTTAACTGAATGGATCATATTAAAGTTAGTGAAGAGGCTGGGATATTAAAAAGAAGAGAACTTGAGAACCTTTTCATTTGGAGTGTGATAAAAAGAAAACTTTACTTACTCAGGCAGTGACCCAAAAAAAAAAAACACGACCGGAGGACAATGAAATCCTTTTGAGGTAATAAAATACGTAAAGGACAGCGGGGAAGACCTTTTGAGGTTGGCCCAAAAATAAATAAAAAGAAAAAAGAAAAGAAATTTGAGAAATACCATGCAAACTGATGTATATTTAGATACAAGAGGACTTGAGGACTTCCTCAGTAAGTTGAACAGAATAGTTGAATCAGATACCTGAGAAATATGATACTCAGGGCCATTAGTTAACGAAAAAGTAACAAAGCCTTCAGTCTGCTCTACATCGTCTGCCAGCAAAAGCCAAAAGAAGATTCATGAGAAAGGACTGATTGAGCAAATGTAACTTTCTGCAAGTAAATTATATGAACTCAATGATTTGGGATCCTTAAAAATCAAATCTTACCCATAGATGGTTTAACCCAGCATGCTTTTAGCTCGTCAGCATCTCCAGTCCAAAGCCCTATACTCTTCTTCACATGAGTAGCATCAAACTTTGCATTCTCAAAGTCGGCCGACTCTGTTCCCCCTGGAAATTGTTCCTTGAAGTTCCAAAGAGTAATTTAAGTGAAAAAGGAGTTAATTAACCAAAACGATAAAATTATCTGGTTGAAAAGATCAAAAGCAAAGAATCTGGCAAGCTAAGAAAATTCCATGGAGTGATAGAGTGTATAGGATAAGAGTCAACCAATGATTTCATAGTCACTGGAGAATCATAAGTTACTGGCACTCGCAAAAGTAAATTGCCGTTTTGAAAAGGTTGTCACTATTCTAACGAAAAATTATCAACATAGAAATTAGTATTTATCGTGCCTCGGTCTATAGGCACTCAAGTACTGTGTCCTTGTTTATAAACTAAGATCTATCATCTCAACTTGCTCTTGTTCCTTCGTCTGGATTGATATACATAATGGGTTCCGTTTAATGCTTCAGTCTCATGTCAATGAACTCATCTGGCTTCAGTATCTCGCTCACTCCAATTTAACCGTGACATCAGGACCTGATATCTGGTGCATAACAGCAACTAAAAAATGCGAATGAAAACTCAACGACATTTGCAAAGATTAAGTGGATCGAGACACCAACTTTGAGGGACAGACAAAGAACAAGTCAACGAAGATTGCAGAAAAGAAAAGTATGGTGGATAAGAGTATATGAATGAGAGAAAGTTTTACTTACTTCCACCGAATCAAAATGGTCCCTTTTGATCATATTCCCAAGCATCACGAACATTGTGAGTGTGAGTATGCCAGCCACCACTTGCTTCAAATCAAACCCCATCGCGCGACTACTTGGATCTCGTAAATTCTTCTTCTGAGTCTCAGACTCACTGTTAGTGGGCGAAGATCAGAATAGAGAAAGAAGGGTAAACTTCAGTTTTTAAGCATCAGCACAAGAGAGAGCGTGAAGCATTGATGAGCCAGAAGAAGAAGAAGAAGAGCTTTAGAGCTGAAATGGAAAGCTTAACCAAAAATTGAGGAAGACAAGAACGCACACCCTCCAATGAGAGCGTCAAAGACCAAAATCTCTTGTTTCTTTGGGAGAAGAAGATCCTTTAACACACCACCGACACTTTCCGATAAAAATCATGGGCTGCCAAACATCTTACGTGGATTTGCTTCGTCTTTTAGGATTCGCTTTCAATATTATAATAAACATGTTGTCAATTCAGTAATCGCACGGTCGCTTGTAATGTTTGAATGGTTGATGAGTTAGATTTGAGAAAGAGCCGTTGATTATGGATAGATAGAAGATGACCAATCTTTAATTTATCGTTATCTGGGTAAACCCCAGACCTGAAACCAATTGCCACACAATAAAGAAAAGGGCAGGTTGGGAACTAAACTTCACGCAAGAAAATTCATTATTGCATAGAGCTATAAACTCAATATTTTAATTTTAATAGTACGGTAAGAATTTGTCAATGAAATAGATGAAGAAGTTGTAGATCCCGAAGATGAAGATGGATTCAGATCTCTAGGTTTAAGTTGAACCCTATTTAAACGAAAAATATGAAAATACCTGTTCACTTGCAAAGGGCAATGGTACCTTCTCCCTCGCCCTCGCCGAAAAAATGTACAGATTCAGATCACAGTATCTTTTCTATACTTCATTGTATAGTAGTACTTTTTATTCTTACAATCAATGGATGCATTAATCCATGTTGTAATAAAAGATTCATATATGGTATTTTTTTTATAAATTTTTTTATCATTAAAATTAAAAGGTGTTGTGATATTTTTAAAAAATTAAATAATGATATCTTTATTATAAAAAAGGAAAGAATATTAATTATGTACTTTATTTACTTTATTTACTACCATCATAATATTAATTGACATTATTAGAGATAAAATTAAAAAATTATTATAATTTAATAAAATTTTAATTAAATAATAAGTTTTTATTAATATATGTAATTCAATTAAAAACAATATTTATTATCATGATCAATATAATTAAGTACTACTTCCACTGTTATCTTGAAATAAATAAATAAATTGAATGCTGTTTATGGAAGGGCCCAGTGATGAGCAAAAAGGGCAAGTGGAAAGTGTGCAATTTAAGTTTAGAGATGATGGAGGGAGATTATCAGTGTTCTGAAAATCTAACTTCATGGAAAATTAGTGATCTAATTAAAAGAGATTGAGTAATCACTTATGATCACATCTATAGATAAGTAAATAAATGTATTGATCTTTTAATCATTAGATATTGAGCAACTTTGATATTATGATCTTCGATGAACCCTCACACGTTTTAGAAGCCTCTTGATTTTAGACATGATTAATTTTAATCTTTTTGCACAGTTTGCTGTGGTCATGTATTAAAAAAAATAATCAGACTTCATGGAGCCATCTGACTTGTTGAACTAAGAATCAATCCCAAGTCTGGTCTAATTATCATATGATTAAAATTCATTTTTTCCTTTTTACTTTCCCTTGAAAAGCTCTGACACCCTTATTAATAAATGTACATTTTTTTCCTAAATTATTTTTTAGATGAGCAAAAATCTCCATCCGTTGGGCTCCCTATACTAATAAGTGAGACATTTTTTCTCATAAATTATTTTTTGGAGGAGCAAAAATCTCCTCATGAGGAAATTATTTTTCAGAGGAGCAAAAAAATTTCGCTCCTTTTAAAAATAGTTTAGTTGAAAAAATTAACCATTCATTAGTATAAGGAGCACGGCTTTTTCCAAAGGAAAATATAGGGACAAAAATGTATTTTAACTTAAAAGTAAATATTAGTATTGCATTAATTTAATTTAAAAATGCAAAGAAAAGTTGTAATTATTTATTTCATTCTGATCATTACCATAAAAAATAGTCATTGTTTAAATTAAAATAGTAAACATTTAAACTTTAGTGAATAAAAAAATTTCTTAATGAAAGTAATAATTAGTTATTCCATTAGCTATTATCAAAGGAAAAGTAATCATTGCTTCGACCAAAATAGTCTATAATATTTTTTTTATGTTAAATAGGGAATTTTTTAATTATTTCACAAAAATTATTAACGTTTGAAAGTCCCTAAGGACTTGAAAATAATCATAACATTTTACAATATCTCATTGTTATTTATGTATTTTAGGTTAAAGTGAATTTTTCTCTTGTACTTTCATTTGAGGAGTGCTAGAGTGCTATACTAGTAAGTAGAGCAATTTTTTTCTAAATCATTTTTTAGAAAGAGCAAAAATCTCCCTCTATTAATGGATCACTAATGGTGGGGGATTTTTGCTCTTCCAAAAAATGGTTTATGAAAAAATGTCCTACTTATTAATTTATGATGTCTAACATTTCTCGAAGAAAAATATAAGGATAAATATGTACTTTAACCCATTATAAATGAAATTGGTAGTTTTGAAAACTGGCCTCATTTCTATTAAAATTGATAGAATCAGCAAGTAAACTGGTTAAACTTAAAATTTTATTTTTTTATTTTTTAAGTGTATGTGCGTGTGTATATGTATATTGGATGAAAATGTTGAAATATTGAAGATATTATCTTTTTTTATTGTGTGTTATTTTATTTAAAATTTAAATATTCATTTTTATTACTATATGATTATTTCATTTTATATTTAATATATAATATTTAAAGTATAACAATTTATTCATAACTAATTGGACCATGTTTTGAACCATAATCTAATCATTGAACTTTAAATTAGTGCCTCAAAAGTTTTAACGGCCATTTCAATTTTTTAACATTGCTTATAATATTCTCTCTCTCTCCCCCCCTCAGATATAAGTAAATTTTAATTAACTCATATAATTTAAGAAAATTAATTGATTTTAAAAATTATGTCTAAATTTAAAAATTTTGGAGTAAAATGTCCTTGTAATTAATGTTTATTTTTTCTCTAATTTATTGATGCTATCCATTTCTAAGGAACAATTTGAGGAAAATATAATAAATATTTCTTGAAATTTGCTATAAAAAACAATGGAATGTATGATAGTTCTCTTATAATAGAAAACAACTACAGGAAGCCATCATGCCCGCTGATAAAAAGATGAAGTATATTTCTTGAAATTTGGTTACAAAAAATTTTCAATATATTTTTGTCATTTAACTTTTTTTAAAAAAATTATATCTTTAATCCAGTGAGTAAAAAAAAAAAAAAAAAGATTGAGAGGGGAAAATAAGATAATGCCAATGGGAACATGCGAGTGAGTCATTGTAACGGCTGATTGGGCGTAGAATCCAATGCGTGAATTCCCTCCCATGAGTGCGAGTGAGATCTGACGACTGACAAAGACAAACACATACTTCTCCGCCACTCTGCGGCTGCACCATTTATTGCTTTCATTTTCTAACCTCATTCTTTTTTGAAAAAATCACCCCTGGATCTTCAATAAATATTTAATTATCAAAAAACTCATAAAACTTATAAAATATTTTAAAATATCAAATTTTACACATTTATAACTTAAAAAAATACACTTATAATTAGATAAAAAAATTTACAACTTAATATTAAATTCATATTTAAGTTATTATTTTTTTAGTTGTAAATGTATAAAATTTAAAATTTAAAAATATTTTATTTATTTTATATGATTTTTTAGTAATTAAATATCTTTTGCGGTAGGTAGGGGTAGGGGTAAGGGTGAAAATAGGCTGACTCGAGTTAGGCTTTAGCCAAATAAGCCTGAATCAATGTGGTACATTAGAGGCCTGAAGTTTGTATAAGTTTTTTTTTTTTTATAACTCAAGCTTGAGCCTAATTAAAGCTAATCTAACCTGCAAGCCTATTTAAAAGTGAAGCCTTTTAAATATATTTGCATTTTAGTTTTAAACGTCTTGAATATACTTAAAGGTTATTATAATATATAATATATAACTTAATTTATCAATTACAGTATATAAAAATTAAAAGAATTTACTAACTATAATATAATATAACAATAAAGTGAAATTATATGGTGAAACTGATGTATTTGTGATATAGTACATATATATATATATATATATATATAAGCTGACCCGTTAGGCTTGTAAGCTAGACCTTAAAAAAATAGGCCTGACTTATTTAATCAAATAAACTTAATTAAAGGCCTGAGCCTGATCTAAGCCTATTTAGTAAGTAGGCTAGGTTAGATTCGAAGTAGGCTAAATTGTAGTTCTCTGTTAAGGGTTTGATCTATTCTCACCCTTAAGTTGGGGTGATTTTTCCTTCTTTTTATTTATTTATTTATTTATTTCTTTTTTTTTAAATTTCTAATTGCTACTATCTTTTCACCTTTTTCACGTTATGTCTTGGATATTCCTCTTGCTCAAGTTGTCTCATTTTTTGGTCAAAAAAAAGTTGTCTCATTTTTATATTCTAACTTTCGTCACATTTATTTTATTTTATCCATCAATACATACTGCTCTTTTGGTCATATTTAAAACTGACATATTACATGTTTGACTAGAGTCAACATTTTATTTAAAAATTTAACTAATTTTATTCTTATAAAATATTCAACTATATAATATTTTTTTCAATATTTAATAAAAGTAAGAAAGTAATGATAAACGTAGTAATTATTAAAGAAATTTAAAAATAACATCGAAACAAATGTTCTATCTGGTCGAAAATATAAGTACTATATTTTTAACAATAATTTGAATGTTAGTAAAATTTTTACTCTCATAAAAATATATATAATTTTTTACCCTTAATTTTAATTTTTGATGAGTGAGAAGAATGTTGAAATTCATAGAATCCAAGTTAATAAATATAAGGATAAAATAAATTTTTTTACAAATATTAAGTTACTTATTTGTTGAATTAAAATTAGTTAAAAGAAAATATTTATATTTTCAATCAAGAAGAGTACCTTCTCTAATCTATAAATACCCTTTCATGAGAGAATTACATTAAGTCTCATATAAAAAAAATTAATTATTATATTATTAATGTAGTTTAGTTCAGTTGTCAATAGACCTTATAATAATTAATTTTTTTATACGGGATCTAATTGTAAATCTTCCTTAAAGTTATGATCTACAGCATAAAGACTAGTGAGATGGAGAGAGTATCTACCATATTCAAAATCAAATAATCTTATGAAGAAAATGGAAGATTATGTGA